AAGGAAGGAAGGAAGGAAGGAAGGAAGGAAGGAAGGAAGGAAGGAAGGAAGGAAATCTGGAGGCTTTCTCCTCACTTCCTAGTGCTCTCCAAAGCTAGCCCCACCATTTAGGTGGGATTTACTGCTCAGAGGCAGATGTGTAGCATGTTCTTGTACACAGGAAATCTAAATTCAGTGACCAGCATCACCAGATAGGGCTGGGAAACAGCTCTTACTGGTCAGCACTGGTCAAGGGTGACCCAGGGCCAGCTATGGTCAGAAGGACCAGGGATGAAGCCTTCAAAATCTCCTGCAAAAAATGCCAGCAAATTGTCATTTTCTGTGTGACAAGAGGGAAAAACACTACACAGGTGGGAAGACTTAACCAGGCCAACTGCATTTAATTAATATTTAGGAAACAAAAATGAAATCAGAGTTGGTTTTGTTACTCGGTTTGTCCGCATCCCACCATAACTGAAAGTAATTCTTTCCTAGCAAGATCCATCTAGAGAGTTTTCTAGGAGTGAAATGTATTTAGGAGAAAGGGATGGAGTTACAAGAATTTCAACAACTGAACTATTCCCTATTTAGAACCAATTTATCCATTAATACATTAGAGGAGAGAGATTTTTTTGTTTCTTTCTAAAAACCCTTCCTGTGTTTCAATGGGGAGATGAATCTTTTCACTGATAATGGAGAAGCTTACAGCTGGCTGTTTACATAATGGCTTTCTGAATCTTTATCATTTTGGGAAATAACCATCATATCTGTACATTCTTTGGAGCCTAGCCCAGATAAGCTACTCAAAAGTAATGTGCAACTTTTGTCTGGAAAAACATCGTGCAACCCTGATGTAGATAGTGTGAATCCTACTGAACCTGAGGAATCTTCTTACGATCTTGGCTTCTGCCTTAGAGCAGAAATATTTGATACCCTTCATTTGCAAAAAACTTTTCTGGTGCTTTTCAGATGAAAACAGTGCGTGCTCCGCATCCTTTTCTTCATCCTTGTGAGAGGACAAGTGCCTCTTTGTGTGTGTTTAATCATTCCCATGCATTTTTAGAAACCCTGTTTTTCTTAAGGTTGCTTTTTTTCAGTATTCCGTTTAGTCTTTATTATACAGTATCTGTGGGCATTTTCATTGTTCTGCATGAGCATTCTTTTAATCCCAATTATGTTATTAGGGATCCACCAATCCTGACATGTACCGATGGCTGCATTTAAAATGGTAGGGCTCCACCACCATAAGTGAGATTTGAAACTCTCCATGAATGGTTATAATGTCTTCTGCTTGCCCAAGTGTGAAAGATTCTGGTTTAAATCATCTCTCCGCCCCCTTCCAGCACTCTGATCATCTGCTCGTATGTTTTACAGCTATTCCACCGCGAAAAAAATCTCCCCATAAAAAGAATTTACGGACCAAGTTGCCTCAATTAAACGAAAAACAAACAAAAACAAATGTGAAAATTGGCTTTTACCCCCATGTTAAATAGCAGTGCCATTAGCTGCTTAAGTGTCAACCATAGTTTCTTCCAAATGAATCATAATTAGAAACCAGACACAACTCAGCAATGTTCCAACATTATTTCACTTGATCATTAATCCAGTCGATTTGTATCCATCTTGGCATCCTTCTGATGCCCAGATTGCTTTGTCAAGAGCCTACTTGTTGATCCTCATTGCAAGGAATAACAGGTGGTTTATTTTCACAGAGAGCTGCCTCATCCACCGCAGAACCTTCTCGCCACTTTGAACTCTTCCTTCAGCCGCAGTGTCATCCTCTCCTGGGTGCGTCCTTTTGACGGAAACAGTCCGGTCCTGTATTACATTGTCGAAGTGTCTGAGAACAGTAAGTGATGGCGGAGACCTTCCTTCACTTCCTAAGGCTTTCTGGCATATTGTTCTTTCTCATTTTGTTTGGAATAGCTCCTGTTTAGGCAGGCAAAGCATGCAAAACTGGTGCCCTGCTTATTTTATTCCTGTGGATTTTTAAAAATAATTATGATTTCCCTGAGTGAATAATGGCTTGTTGTGCTACACTGGGGATTTTAATTGGGAGCTTCCCTTAGCCACATCTGCTGTTCAGGCTGCTGCACATCGCATTATGTTTGACTTAATAAGCCTAGGGTGAGTGCCTTGCTATTCCATGCTTGAAGATGCAGTTATGGAGCCCTGGCATCGTTCCGAAGTTTTTGGTTCTGTCGATTCCATGATATTTTGTCGTTTTAAATTCTATGGCGATAGACAGAACCAGACTTCAGAGCTGTGCCAGTCTGCAAACTGATGACCTGGGGCCTTAGCCCCAGAGCCTGTTTTACATACTGACTCACCTGCTCTTCTGCGTTAATGAAGAACCTTTCTTTCCACCCCTAAAATGTTTCGGTGCACTCTCACGCAGATGCAGACAGGGCTTCACCTGGGGTTAATGACAGCTTGCAACTTGGAAATGCCCTCTTTAGCTTTAGATTTGCTGTTGTCAAGCAAGAGGTGAGACAGCTATGGTTTTTCCCACTACTTCCTCCTGTCTCCCTTTCTTTTTATCTACCCTTTTCCCCAACTTGTACCTGAAACACCTGGAATTCCTCTCCCTGAAGCAGGAAATGAAGGGATGAAGGGTAAGATTGGAGCGGGATAGAATGGAAAAGCTTCTTCTGATTTGACAGCAGATTTTTTAAAAGGGTAATTCACTAAAGCTCCAGCTTTCCTTTAAGTCCTAAGCTTCCTCTGCCATTGAAACTTTTCGTTAGGGAAGGGGAACATGTGGCCCTCGAGAGATTGCCAAACTGTGACCCCCATGCTCCTTACCACTAGCCCAGCTGGTGGGATCTCTTGGAAGATGTAATCAGCAACATCCAGATGGCACATGTTCCCCATGCCTTTGTCACACATTCCCTCTCACCCACATAGCTGCCTTGTTTGTTGCCATACCATGCTTGTTATTAATGTCTCTTTCACTTTTGTGGCTTCCTGCAAAAAAGTGAGTAAGAAAGGAAAATGGAGGAGCCAGATGCAGTTGAGGAAAAGATGTGCATGCATCTATCCAAGAAAGCACAGACACACAATGGTACTCATCCCATTGATGATGGTCCTCATTGACTTGTCTACGGTTTCAGAGGGTACCTATGTTTAGTTTATTGTTAGATACTGAAAAAAGCTACGATGTATTTGGTGTGCTTCTGAATACCCTTTTAAAAACAAATGTCTTGTACTTCAGTTGCTTAATTGTGTTTCTGATCAGCATCTGTGTTACCACAATATTCTGTGCATAGGTAGATAAGATTTTGCAGTTTTGAATGGTCAGATGCAATCCAGAATATCAGCCTTTGCCAGAATCAGTCCTACACACAGAGGTGACACTGTCAACTGAAAAATATAATAATTCACCTCTAAAATTCTGTAAGAAGCTCAGCAGAGTTTTGATAATATCCTACAAAAATTGCTCCAGTAATCCTGAAGCGGATGAAGAGATTTTTCTGAACTCTCATACACTGTCAGACAAATGTTGTGATTTTAGCTGATAGCATCGTAATCTACCAGCGTATCTCAGTGCTTATCAAATTCATGGGCTTCACTGTGCTTTGTATCTGCAAGCACATCTACCAAAACGAGACAAAACCGGGGAGTGAGAGGTGGAGCTCCAACAGAATGGTGTAATTGGAGGATGGGGGACGGTGGCAAGATTGGTTGGATCAATTCTGTAAACAAAAGAATCTGGGTTTCATGTCTGAATTGTCTGTGGACTCATGCTTTGAGCAAGTTGTCACGTCTTGATTTGTGCTTGTGTTATAAAAAATAAGGAACAATTAATTGTGTTGGGCAATTCTGCATGGAGTTATTGGAAAGATCAGTGGACTGAAGATTGTAAATACTCTGAATGAAAGGTACCGTGTGAAAAGTAAATGTAGGGTAAAAAAACTGCTGATACATTCTATACTAGCATAGATACAGGAGCTCCATTCAAGCATCTTGTTCTAGTCCATCACGTTTTGAATGCATTGACAATAGATAGACTTTCATATGGGTAACCATACCTAATTTCCAGCCTTTAAGAATCTCAGTCTAGAAGAGGCAGGACCATTTCCATCTTCAAACTGGGAGTCAGCGGTTATTTTTCTATCTCTAGGGTCATCTTAATAATTGATTCAAAGACTGTAACTGTCATCCCAAATGGTACCTTCTGCAGAAAATCATAGCCAGGGCTCATGCCTCTCTGAGGTTGATCTAGGATACCCAACAGAAAATTATTTAACTTAACAGGATGGATAACTTTGTCCCCTATTCACCAAGGAAGCTTTCTTTGAAGGAGAGCAGTGTTGTCCAAACTTGGCCACTTTAAGATGAGTGGACTTCAACTCCCAGAATTCCCCAGCCAGCCACTTATCTTAAAGTGGCCAAGTTTGGACAACACTGAAGTAGAGAGACTGTGGTGGTAGAATTCACAATGAATCACTTTATACAGTAGGTAGAGTGTGTCTCATTTCAGCCTTCTCCCCCATATCAAAAAGAACAGCAATTCCCATCATTCAGGAAGTAAAGTAGCACACTGGGGCACGTTAAACAGTTATGCTAGATTACTACACAAAGGAAATTTTAATATGGAGGAGCATTCAACAATATTTTGGCCTTACACCTCCAGACATTTTAGTGTGTGTGGAATAACTCTTAATTGTTGAAAACAAAGGCCCATTTATTTATTTATTTATATTTCAAATTTAGATACCGCCCATCTCACCAAAAGTGACTCTTAAACTAGGGTAGAAAATAGCAATATCCAGTGTTATGTTTCAGTGTGTGCGTTCAAAGAGTAGACCATGATCTTACACTGCTTATCATTTGTGTCTCTCAAAACCCCAACTTCCTGGCTGCCTATGTATTTTCTTCCTTGACTTGAAATATTCGTCTTTTCCTGCTATTCAAAGTCTGTCTAAGACTTTTGGGTGCGCTTCCTTTCTTTGCATCCTTCGTCATAGTCCGAAGAAGAACCAGGGGCATCAGAAAAATATGTATGGACCCCTGAAAAGTGTGTGTGTGTGTAAGAAAAAGAAAGAATGGCTTGAGAGCCACCAAAGCCTAAGAGTGAGATGAGTGCTTTCATTTTTCATGTGCTGCCGGTGATTACCTGTTGACTACGCTGCTCCGCACTCAGGCATATAACACCTTTGCCAGCATTTTGGATGGGATTGCACTTATTTTGGGGAACAGTGTTTTGGTTTCCCATCCTTGCCATAGAGGGTTTCCAGCTGTGTCTCTGCCTATGAGTTTTTGTCTTTCTCGGATCTTCCCTTCCATAGTGTTTTGCCCTCCTGTGTTTAAATTGTGACCGTTTTTTTAATGTCAATCATCTTTCATTTGTTCATATTTATACCTTGATAACTGCTGAGATGGTACAGCATGTGTTAGGTACCCAACTCCTCACTTGCAAAGGATGGCAGGGTTAGGGTTACTCTCTGTAATTCTGCAGCTGTCAAGGGAGATTTGCAGACAGGATGCTGTGGAGTTTTAATACCACCTGGGTTTGTCCGTTGAAAAACTTAACACAGGAGTTTGATTTTTATCATACAGTGCATCTGCTCCCAAATGGGGTTCTACAATTATTTAGGGTTTCTCTCCTTTAGATTACCGAGGCTTGGCTGGATTTCTAATAATGTTAACATATAGCACACATATCAACATAAAGCCTAACAGTTCCTAATTCAACTAACTATTATTAAGAGCAGTTGAGAAATTTGCATCCTCTTAAGTATGAATTTAAGGCAGAGGATGGTAACTTATAACTCCTAAACTTATTTTTTTTTAGGGGGGCCTCTTAGAAGTTCCCTCAAAGTATGTTTTCTGAAAAGCAAAGAAGTAGTTTCCTACAATTTTGAGACAGGAAACACGCAACAGTTTTAAGTTCTTAAACAGACTTCGCATAGTTTAAAACAAAACAAAGACTCTAATTCTGCCCCTGAATCATGAACAAAGCTGAAACCCTGGTTTGCATCAGCACCCCTCCTGTATTATCCTTGCCCTTCCCCTTGTTAAGTGTGTTCCCCAGTTACCCAAAGATAGTCTCTCCCTCTTTTCAGGCGACTCATTACTTATCAATCATATCTAGGCCTTTTTCCTTCTGTATTACCGGCTTAGGAAAATTATAATGGTAGGAAGGAGATAATGGGAAAGTTGCTATACAAAATATCAATATGCAAGAATCCCCCAAATCTGAAAAGCAGACGTTTCTCTTTCAGTTGTTGTTATTTAGAACAGGTATATCATATTAGTAAATTCTTGGTTAGCTTCCTTTAAACAACATGAGATACACCAAGATGACCTGCTCTGTATGTTCTCAACAATACCCTGGGGGTCACCATACCCTTGGCTAAAGTTAGAGGAAATATAGTAAAGAACTCACCAATTAGTATAGTTTTGGTGATACACATCAGAATATATTTTATAACCATCAGAACATTGTCTTCCACCTCTCTTTCAGTCAAGAGTTGAGATTTATACAAGCATTATCTGTAGATACATTATGGTCAAAGCAATTTGCGGAAGAGATCATTTGAGTAACAATAGCTGTAATGAGTAAAAATTACAGTTGATTTAATTTAAATTATTGTTTTAAATTGGCCTGTGTGAGCTTGGTGCCCTCCAGATATTTTGAGACTGTAGCTCCTAGAGCTTCTACCTAGTATTTGGGATGGGTAAAATGCTCATTTTACTTGGGGTTTAGGGTTAGGACCCCCATCACCCCATCTTCCCAAAGCATGGGGGGAAAAGCTGTTCAGGGTAGAGAAAACAACAGTGAAGGTTGTGTGGGGAAGCAGAAGTCCCCTCTCCCCTTCTCTTTTTGCCGGATTTAAAGCAGAA